GGACATCTCTGGTTACGTATCTCACAAGTCTCTCTTCTGTTATCAATCTTTCTTTTCTATCAACACTTCTGTTTTTCTGCACTGTTATAAAACTCTCTTTCTGACAATTTCACCCTCAAAATAGCTTCTCTCATAGCCAATACAATCGTTGTCATTCAGAACTCTCTTTGACTTCACAAAAACTGAGGCAGTACACCCCTCCAGGCCCTCTCCTTCTAGAACTTCCCTCTCAGCTGACTGAGAAGAGCAATGGCCGTTTTCTCACACTAGAACTGGTTTTCTCCTCATACAATTTGATGAGAATGCAAAAGCATCCTAATAATGAGAGTCTGGAGTCTGTGACTCATATGACTCATTTGTGCGATGCATTTAGGTGTGGCTGATTTTTCTTCTCAATAGTTGTTCGGAAGAATCATTGTAGTGGCTAATCTGCGTTGTCTGTAGAGCCCAACCTGTGGCCCTTTGGATGTTATTGTGTGATCCCAACAGCCAGTAGGGTAGGATCTCCCTGCCCAGCTGCTTACTTAGTGCCAGTGAAGGAACAAATATTCATTATACTAGCTTTTGCTAGGTTTGGTTTATTTCATTCATATGATCTTACTTTTTCTGTGCTGTCTAATGGAATGAGAATCGAATCAAATGATCGGATGAGATCTATCAAAGGGGCATCAGTGTTTTAGAGGGCCATATGACGCACTAATGAATGTAAAGGGACAGTAATGACTGTTACCTCAGGCAGTCTCATGTGACAAGTCTGCAGTTCACGACTCTCCTGTACAATGTCTCCAATCTCCAACCACTTCAATTGACTTGAAGCCCATGTCCACCTTTCTGGAGGTATTATTAAAAAAAACATATGCCAGCAATGTACACCGAGTGTACATGAATAACATATGCCAGCAATGTACACCGAGTGTACATGAATAACATATGCCAGCAATGTACACCGAGTGTACATGAATAACATATGCCAGCAATGTACACCAAGTGTACATGAATAACATATGCCAGCAATGTACACCGAGTGTACATGAATAACATATGCCAGCAATGTACACCGAGTAAACATGTGGCAGGCAGCTGCAGTTGCCATATATGAGCACATAAACGTACTTTGTTTGTTAGCTGTCCTCTTCATTTCCTCATGGCTCCCTTTTTAAATGGCCTCCTCTGTGCTCTGCAGCCAGTCCTTGTAAATGACAGGCTGCTCTGCACTGTAAGAACTACAAAGAAGGGCATGGAAATCTACATTTCCCACAATGCTTCCCTGTGGGAACTGAGCTCTCTACCATCCCCCCCCCCCAAATTCATTGATATGGCAACACCCTCTGGGCAGCGCAGAGAGACCTGGAGAGGCAGAGCTGGTGTGAAGTGATCTTGTTACACTTTTTCACAGGGAGGGGGGTCAGCAGCCCGTGCTAGACAATCCGACCCCGTGTCAGAGTTTCCTGTGGAGGGAATGTTGAATTTGTGGGACCCAGGCCCACTAAAAGATTCGTAAAAAAAATGAAAGAAGCCAGCAATGTGAAAATGTGCACCTATATACATCATCACTGCACCACTACATTACCACAATACGTGCTAATCACTTACAAAGGTGGAAGTCCGATCATCTCCCGTAGCATGTCACCAGCTTTCTGCAGTAGTATGTTCACAGCTTTTGGCATTTTTCTGTAAAATGATACATTCTGAATAATACGAGCAGCCCTCTGGTGATTTCAGGGGCTACAATTGGGGCCCCGAATACTGAGTAAGTGGACAACCATTGCCCTAGAGGCTACAAATCTCTGCATTCCACAAAGTTAAACAAATGTAAGATGAAGCTTGTATATGTGCGAAAGTTGCATAATAAAATGACTTTCTAGCGTGCCATGCCCCACCATGTGTCAATGATGCCATCCACCCCCCCCACCCCCCGCCGAGGGGTGACTGCATTGGCCTGCCACATGGTTTGGGGTATGGTAAACCTCCGTTGGAGCCAGTGGATTTCTAAAGATGTGGTCTTCCAGGGATCAGGAAGGCTATCCAAGTGCACGCAGGAGGTTTTTACAAGATTTAAAGAGGCTCTGTCAAAAAGATATAACAAGCACCGATATTCATCTTTCGGTACTCGCCGATACTGATTACCGATACATCCGCTAGCATGGAGCTGGCTTCCCGGGCAATCAGGAAGCCGGGTGGCATGTCATCACCTACCACCGGGCTTCTTGATTGCCGGGGAAGCCGGCTCCATGCTGTTTGGCCAGCTCCATGCTGATTGGCCAGGTAGCCAGCTTCCCAGCCGATCAGCATAGAGCCAGCTTCCCGGCCAATCAGGAAGCCGGGAGACGCGTTATCAGCACTTTCAATTATTGACACTTTGCCTGATGAAGGTGTCCTGTGAGGCTCCGAAACTTTGCATTCACATGTCATGCTAAAGGAATACGAATAAAGAAGACATTCCGAAGCAGAATGGTGTGCGGACAACATATCTTGATGTCATCATCGCATGGAGCCGGTTTCCCGGCCAAACAGGAAGCTAGGAGGCGGGTCATTACCTGCCACCCAGCTTCCTGATTGGCCGGGAAGCCGGCTCCATGCTCCCTCGTGCCACTTCCGGTCAGAGGAAATCTTCCTCTGACCAGAAGTTTCGGTATCGGAGGTAAGTATCGGAGCATTTGGGTGAGTACGAGTATCGCTGCATCCCTCGATATACCCAAAATCCTTTCAAGGGTATATTTAACAAGCCAAATGTACCAAATAGAGAGATGCTTAAAGTGACACTAAACTTTTGTGAAGGTAAACCTGTGGTGGGAGAAACATGGAAGGTCCCATTGCTAACATGTCCATCTGGGAATAATAGATGTCTGGCCGTCATGCTGACCCTTTGTTTTCAATGCTGTTAAGCTAGCCTTACGCGGTTCGAATTTAGACCAATGCCTGCTGAAATACAAATCAAGCGGCTGATCATCAGAGTGCACAGCAAAAGTCAGCAGCTGGCACTGGCCAGCAGGACGGAAAATGCACATCTGGAGGGATGAAATCGTTCATGTAACGCACAGGTTCTAGGAAGCAGATCCTAGGCTGGGTGACCATTAGGCCTTGTTCACACCAAATGCAGAGCAGATCCGGTCAGGTTTCTGCACACGCAGTGCAGTGGGTTGTGCCGCGTTTTTGATGCGTTCCGGGCCGTTTTTGGTTACAAAACACATTTTTTTTTTTTAAGTTTAACATGGGCTTTCAGGCACTTGCATGCGTTTTTGATGCGTTCCAGAGCAGGTAAAATAGGGCTTGCCGCAATTTTTTCACCTGCTCTGGATCTGCACGCTGCGATGTGAACTGGAGCTCAAAATACCATAGGAATACATTGGACACAGTTTTGATCCGGTCTGCACCTGCTCTGCTCCGCACTTGGTGTGAACAAGCCCTAAAGGCCGTGACACACTGCACGCGAAGCCGTGCAGAGCGAAGCAAAGCTATCCGGCACGGAGCTTTGCGTGCAGTGTGTGAGCTGAGTGCAGTCAGATGATTGACAGCACCTTCAGCCAATCGGCTCGTCCGTAACAACCTGCCAGCTGTCGCATCGCGACGCGCTGGTTTATACGCGCGAGCCGATTGGCTGAAGTGGAAATTGTTCATCTCGGCACGCTCAGCTCCGCGAGCTCTTGCAAGCTGAGGTGCGAGCAGAAAATTGCTGAGCTCCGCGCTGCTTCGCGTGCAGTGTGTCACGGCCTTAACAGAGACCCGCCAGCCACCAAACTGCAAAAGAGCAGCAGGCAGACCCCGGGGTGATGTCATTGGGTATCAATGGTGGCATTTTAACTGCAGGTTGATGGGGGTATTATATGCATACATTGCACTTCAGCTTAAGAGCGCATTCACACCAGGGCAGTTGCAGATCAGCGGTGATTTTAAAAGGGAGGTTTTGGGAGTTTTTAATTGTGTTTCAGCGCCGAATTGCAATAAAAAAAAATGCCCAAAACTGCACTGATCAGCACAGTTCCATTGAAAATTGTATGGAAACTGAACTGATCAGCGCGGCACAAATAGCGCAGGGAGCAGTTCGGATAGCGTGCACAGTCACATGAACGGTCCCCATAGCAACATATAGGATCATTCGTCTGCGGATCTCGCACCATTGTGTACAGGGCCTTAACCCTTCCCTACACCTTGAGGAAGGCCATGACACCAGTGAATGGGAGGAGGGGCTCCTGTTTATTCATTTATAGTGATTGCCGCAGTTGCCCATGTGCTGTTGGGGACAGTCACCATTCTGGCGGTGCCAATTGAGCGTGCCCCCGACAACCCATCATTGCATATATACCACAGCTGGGTGTTAGGGGCCCATCTACCATACTGCTCTCATACAGAGATATAACAGGTTCACTGTGAAGGTAACTTCAGTAATTTACCTCAGCAATGTGTCCATTACATAGTGTCTCTGACTATTAACAGGTGTATTCAATGACTGCTGCATGTTTCACTCCATTAAAGACCTCTTCCTGCGCAGAAGCATCCGCTCCGCACCGCCATTAAGGTTCCGCTGATTTTTACCTCACGCTCCGCCAATTCTAACTGCGCCACACTGCGCTGGTCCCGCCAGAACGCAGGGTGGGCGGGGCCAGGTGTCCCGACAGAAAGATTCTAATCTGCAGAGAGAGGCATCGGGAACCAACCTGGACCGCTTTGGAGGCGGGGCCACTGTGGCTGGGTGGGCGGGCTTTCGTTTCCGCTGTGAAGGCTTTTCCGCTAACCAGTTGTAAGGCGGAGCCAGCGGCGGAGAGAAGGGGGGGCGGAGCCGGAGTCAGGGAAAGCCGCAAGTTGAAGGCAAGAGGCGGGGCTGAGGATTGGAAGGCGAATCCCTCAGGATAACTACAAATCCCATGGTGCTACGCGGCAGAACCGGAAACACGTGTAAAGAGGAAGAGTTGACAAGTGGGAGAGGGGCGTTAGAAGTTTAGTGGGCGAAGTGTCAGCGTAGTGGCCTATGTGGGGTAATTATATTGCGGGCAGGCGGCGGAGAGAAGATGTAGCGGTATTAGACCGGTTGTAGACAGGTTGCTGCATGCAGATCGTAGCGAGCAGTCTACATAGAATATAGTGTGCACTGCAGTGCCTGTGCTGACAGTTGGGCCAGATGATGAACACGTCCATAGATTGGTGACATCAATACACAAGGCCGAGGGATAGAAATTGCTTTTATATGTGTGCCAAATCATTAGCTGTAATTTTGCTTCTTCACACTGTGCCTTGTTTGTACACAAAGGGGCCATAATCATTGTATTTACTGCCATTGTTTGCCTAGAACATGCAGATTTAGAGAAACATGGGAAGTGCATAGCTATGTAAAGTGTATACCCAATATTGGAGACTGAATAGTGTAACTGAAGGGTGATAGAAGAGAGAAGTTCGCTCAGGATGTCTGTGGACGATCCATTCTCCGTGGTAAGAGGGTAAGTACACATGTGTAACACTAAATATTCATGAGAACACAGCCCGTCCATTCACAGGAGACCAGTGACATCACCGAGATCCTTTATATTCATGAGAACACAGGCTGTCCATTCACTAGAGACCAGTGGCATCACTGAGATCCTTCATATTCATGAGAACACAGCCCATCCATTCACTAGAGACCAGTGACATCACCGAGATCCTTCATATTCATGAGAACACAGCCCATCCATTCACTAGAGACCAGTGGCATCACTGAGATCCTTCATATTCATGAGAACACAGCCCATCCATTCACTAGAGACCAGTGACATCACGGAGCTCCTTCATATTCATGAGAACACAGCCCGTCCATTCACTAGAGACCAGTGACATCACGGAGCTCCTTCATATTCATGAGAACACAGCCCGTCCATTCACTAGAGACCAGTGGCATCACTGAGATCCTTCATATTCATGAGAACACAGCCCGTCCATTCACTAGAGACCAGTGACATCACTGAGCTCCTTCATATTCATGAGAACACAGCCCGTCCATTCACTAGAGACCAGTGACATCACTGAGATCCTTCATATTCATGAGAACACAGCCTGTCCATTCACCAGAGACCAGTGACATCACTGAGATAATTCACATTCATGAGAACACAGCCCATCCATTCACCAGAGACCAGTGACATCACTGAGACCCTTCATATTCATGAGAACACAGCCCGTCCATTCACTAGAGACCAGTGACATCACTGAGATCCTTCATATTCATGAGAACACAGCCCGTCCATTCACTAGAGACCAGTGACATCACTGAGACCCTTCATATTCATGAGAACACAGCCCGTCCATTCACCAGAGACCAGTGATTTCACTGATACTTTTTGGGGTTGATTCATGACACATTTGGGGTTGTTGCCTGGAAGAATTGTATACATTGCTTGCTATAGAACACTGTTATGAAGCGGCAGGATCAGCAGCCCAGGAGCTGATTATTGCACCTTCTGTTTTTTGTCCTGGACCCTGACAGCCAGCAGTTCTAGTTCTAAAGCTAGCCAGAAGCCACCAAGCCTGGGCGCTGTTTTAAAATGACATTGGGAGAAATAGCCAGCTTCCCAGTGCCATTTTTAAACCACACTTGGGACTTAAGTGGTTAAATGACCATGGCCAGGCTACAGCCCTGGGTTGTCTCCACTTTGCTGTAGCTGATCTCTTCTGCAGCATCGAATCCTGGGCTTCTGTAGTCTGCGTATCTGGAAATTTCCTGGGAGTGTTGACTGGTGGCCCCAATCCTTCCGTCACCCAGAAGGAGCCATCATTTGATAGGCAGAGCTAGACGTCAACACTGCCTGGAAATTTGCAAATGACTGCAGGCTGTGATTTGGGGTTTCTGTCTGCAGTAGAGAATGACTACACACATGTGAAGGCTGACAGATGTACACTGGTACCTCGGTTCACGAACGCTTCTGTTCGTGAACAATTCGGTTCGCGAACAGGAAGTTTGGCAAAATTCTGCTTCTGTTTGCGAACTCCGCATCGGGTGACAAACACAACCGCAGCCATCTTCCCTGCTCTGACACATGGTCGTGGCTTCCTCTATTCGAGTTCCTCTGATCACAGTTTGATTCGGTTGGCGACCAATCCTGTTCGCGGCCAGAATCGTGGAACAAATGAAGTTTGTGAACTGAGGTACCACTGTACTTTGAAATGGCAGATTCTCTTTAAAGCTCACCCCCCTACTCGCATATACTCACCCTCTCTGCACTCCCCCATTAAGCCTTCCTGTGTTGCAACCTCCAGAAAATACTGTGTAAAGTCCATGTTGGATGATGTTGTAGCCCACCCAGGGTTGATGATGTCACTCCCTCACTCATGTGACCATATTCGGCCCTGGCAATTTCCTTCAAAAGCCCTGATTCATGGGAGAAGGTTACATTCTGCTCCATACCATAAATCTCTATAATTGCAATGGCGGTGTGCCCTGACATGTAGGGCCAGCTGTAGTCTGGCATCACAATTATTTCTTTATATAGCGCCAACATATTCCGCAGCGCTGTACAATCGTTTAGACAAGTAAGAAACACTGACAAGCATCACTGACATACAGAAACAGTAGGTGAGGAGGACCCTGCCCACACGAGGTTAAAATCTAAGAACTGCTGAGGAGCAGCTTCTAGTGTGGAAATGTGGCCCTTTGCTTGAAATCCCCTTACCACCATTACAGATATTGGCTGCTATGGCTCTGCAGAGTTTTTCCTCGGGTCCCCAATAGAGGAAGTTTAAGTAGACACTGTAACGATGCTTATTCAGGGCAAAGTGACCGTGTCTGCTGATGGCCCATAACCCCAGCCATGTATAGTCATCCATTCTTCACCATGCATTTCTGTCAGAAACCTTACTCTGTTGTCCTACTGGAGCCAGGGCCCTTGGGTATGGGAGAGCATGTGACAGTGCTCTGGCCTGAGAGGCCATTTTCCAAGTCAAAGCACTGTCACATGGAAGGCAGTGATGTCATCCACTTGGGTAAACTTGAACAATGGAGCTTACTTGGAGTAGGTTGCAGTGGGGAGGTAGCAGAGGATCATAGATATGGTAGTATCTCGATATAGCATTCCACCTCACCTGACAGTTTCTCTTTTTACTGTTCTCTTTAATGTATTTCTTTTGACAAACCTTTTTCCATTTTAAATTTCATTGCCATGTTTGTCCTTCACAGGGAGGTACAGAAGTCACTAAATACCAGCCGGGGTCTCTACCAACGCTGGTGTGAGCTCCTCCAGGAAAGTAATGTGTCCAGCGCTGAAGAGTTTGATTGGACGACCAATGAGCTCAGAAATTCCCTGAGGAGCATAGAATGGGACCTGGAAGATTTAGAAGAGACCATCAGTATCCTAAAGTGGATAACAAAATTGTAGCCATGTTGGGCTTTGTGTATTAAAATTGCATTTCCCTTAGTAACCAGATTACAGCCGTCATTTTTGTTGGGCAAAGTAGAATGAAAGGAAATATCTGGGGTACGCACACTTCTATACAAGACTAGATATCATTCTGTGGTGTAACATGGTATACCAGTTATATACCCATTTCTAAGAATCCTCTCTGCTCTTCCTTAACTCCTGTCATGGGCATCGTTGAAGCCAACCCAAAAAAGTTCAAGATTACGGGAGCTGAGCTGTGTGAAAGAAAGAACTTTGTGGAGCAGACGAGAAGTTCTCTTAAGGTAATACCAATAAGGTCCACTCTTGTGTATTTCATTCTTTTTAATTTGCTATTCTGCTAAAGATTCATGATATCCCAGAGATTTCTCTAATTCCTCTTGAACCTCTAATAGTTATTTTTCGGATGACAAATAGGTTTTCATACTATAACTCAACTTTTTCTTTTTTTTCCCTTACATGGTCATGATTGGGGACCATAAATGTGCCACGTCTCATAACTTCCACTCATACCTGCCTCCCCTTGCTTGTCAGGAGCTTGGACAACTTGGCTCCTTAGGTAGCAGTGACTGCATACAATGGAAATTGATCTAATTATTTTACCCTCCATGTCACGTTGTATATACCGGTAGCCCTCAATTTACGCTGGGGTTAGGTTCCTGAGGGAATGGTTGTAAATCGAAACCCAGTATACAATGTAAGTCAATGGGAAGCGAGGGAGTTATGTTGCAGACCTTTCTCAAAATTGACATAAGTAATAAAAAACAGGTACATTCTATATAAAGCTGCTGCATGAGCTTTCACAAGGAGCTGTAAATAAAATGTTACTTATGTCAATGAGAGAGGCTTGGAACCTAACTTGCTCACTTCCCATTGACATACATTATATATTTGGTTTCAATTTACAATACTTCCAGAAAAGGGTGCTATTTCCAAATGGAACTGTTGTAAACCGAGGGCCACCTGTATTTCCCCAATCATCTTCCAGGACAGCAACCTGAGAGATGATTGGTTCCACCTTCTACAGGAAACACAATGACTTTTGGCAACAGTGGAGGCCGGGATGTCTTCTCGTTCAGTACAACGAATGACCAAAGAAGAGTGACTGGTTACTAAGGCCGATCTTAGTTTCTCTTGTGTCTCCTGTACCCCTAACTGTTTTTGACACAATTCTTTATTTGTTAATTCACCTCTAGACCTCTCCGATATGCAGAAATGTGAACACAAAGCAACGTGGCTGCTTTACTTCTGTGACAGAACTGTTTTTCATTTAGTACAATAAGGTGATATAAGATGAATGGAGCTACGAGGAATTTAGTATTGTTCTCTGCAGTCCACCTATGTCCTACAATGTGAGATGTTCTAATCCCTGATGAAGTCATTGGGAACCAGTAATACTGATTTATTGTTGGAAGATCCTAATGTGATCTTTTATCCATCAAAATCTAGCAAATGTGAAGTCACTTGGAGAGGCTCAGCTACAGTGAGGTCTTTGGGTTGACCAGCAATTCAAGAGAGCAGAAGTCCTTTAAAAGGATCATGCCACCTTAAATCTTTTACTGGTTTATGAGGGTCACCGTACAGGATACAATTACCTTTTAGAACTACCAAAACTATGTAACATGAAGACCTACCTAAGCTATTCAATCAATTTATATCCAATTAGGCAGGCCCCTGTACGACATACTTATTGGTATGTACGATTGTAATGTGTGTGGTGAGCTTTAGAGCTTCTGGTGGCATAAGCTGCTTTTCAGGCTTCTGACCTCCTACCAGTTTGCCAAGGAAGGGTACCCACTCCTCCTACTGTATTATCTGCAGTGAGCCCTTTTTGGAGAATCCTTTGTCCTCCCAACTCTCCCATGATGGCTTGTATAACAGGAACAAGGAGCTAGGAACTCCTTGTTTGTTGGATACATACACTATACGGCCAAATGTTTGTGGACACCCTACCATCACACCTATATGAGTTTGTTGGACATGCCATTCTAAAACCACGGACATTATTATGGAGGTTGACCCCATTAGAACAGTGGTTGCATTTGCTGTAACAGCCTTCCCTCTTCTGGAAAGGTTTTCACAGAATTTTGGTGTGTCTGTAGAAATTTGTGCCCATAAAGCTAAACGAGCATATATGAGGCCCAGTAATGATGTTGGATTAGAAGATCTAGCTCGTAATCGGCATTCAAATTCATCCCAATGGGGTTCAATTGGATTATAATCAGTTCTGGGTTGCACTATGCCAAGCTCATCAAACTAGGTCTTTATGGAGCTGGCTTTGTGCACAGGAACACAACCATGGTGTAACAGAAAAGGTCCTTCACCAAATTGTTGGAAGGCAGACAATTGTCTAAAATGTCTTTGTATGTTATAGCAGTAAAGAAGACCTCTGGGATTTTGAAAAGTTAACCCTTGCAGTGGGGCTACTAACACACTGCAAGGGTTAACGGCTCGTTTTGGTCTAAGGAACAGAATAATGAAGATATACTCAGCCGATCCTGGAGAAAATCCTGGAGTACTTCTTTAATGTAACTCTTCACTGGAATCGCCTCAACTCGAGAATTTTCAGGGATGTCTACAAATTCTGGCCATATAGTGTTAATATTGGACGCTAAGAAGTGATTTGACTTTTCAAGCTACTTTCTGTTCGTTCTTAAAAGTTTGGAGCTCTCGGTGGAAAGTTTGTGGTAATATTTTCAGGAGCTGCTGTGTAAACACATGGAGCTCTACTTGCACGGAGTATTCATCATGTCACAAGCATTGGAAATGTTACTAAAAGTGAGACTTTCCATTACTTCCTGTCCTGAGCAGAAGCAAAATTGGGAAATCGCTTGGACAGTTAGTGAGGTTGCTTCCTCTCAGGACAGGAAGTGGTAGGACATTTCTTAGGGACACTTAGTGAGGTTGCTTCCTCTCAGAACAGAAAGTGATGTGAAATTTATAGGCAATGGTAAGTGTGGTCACTTCCTCTCAGGACAGGAAGTAACAGAAAATCTCCTAGAGACAGTAAGTAAAATTGCTTCCTCTCAGGACAGGAAGTGATGGGAAATGTCTCGGGAACAGGAATAAGGGTTGCTTTCTCTTAGGACAGGAAATGATGGGAAATAAGTCAGGGACAGTAAGTGAGGTCATATTCTCTCAGGACATTTTGTGATGGGTAATTTCTAGGCAATGGTAAGTGTGGTCACTTCCTCTCAGCCCAGGAAGTGACACAAAATATCTTAGGAAGAGTAAGTCAAGTTGCTTCCTCTCAGGACAGGAAGTGATGGGAAATGTCTAGGGGACAGGAAGGAAGTTTGCTTCCTCTTAGGACAGGAAATGAGAAATCCTTCAGGGACAGTAAGTGATGTCATGTTCTCTCAGGACAGGAAATTATGGGAACAATCTTCAACAGGGACACTGACACACACAAAAACACATTTTATACACCTTGTAGTGTAGGGAAAGAAGGGTTAGAACATCCAACAATGTCTTTATTGCCTTCCTTTGCTGGTGGCAGCTGCTATCTCCCCGTGTTAATATAAATGACAGGATTTGCTGATCCTCGTGTCATAACATCTGTTGCTCTTCTCTCTTTTTAAGGAAATGAGGGATCACATCTCCAGCCCGCGAGCTCAGGCCTTTGCAGAGAGAAAGAACCGAGAGGTAGTGACATTTCCTTCTCTTGTTTCCATTTGTCATCGTCATCCTCATGTCTGACCTGTGAATCATTCCACTCTCTTTGTCCTAGGCGCTGGGTGTCTCTCAGCCTATGGGTTGGGATCACTTTTCCCGTCTCGATGAGGAGATTCTTTCAGGCGACTCTCGTTACATAGAGGACCAGCAAGCACAACAACAAGTGAGCATTGCACTAAGACTTGAAGATTTGACTTTTGTATTTGTGTGACGGCATAAAGATCACATCTACCTCCCCGGGTGGAAAAAGCACACGCTTGCTATGAAGCAGCTTCCAGGCAGTTATGTTTCCTGGCTTTGTTTTTCTGCCTGTTCTCCCCAAATGCCTGAGCCTAGCTTGGTTGTAATGACAAAAAAATAATAAAGTCACCGGCACTCCAAATGATCAAGTCAATAAGTTTATTGACCCAAGTGATAACACCTCTAGCAACATTTCGGGACCATGCGGTTCCTTCCTCAGGCAAACACTCTCTGTGAAGGGGCTGCATGGTCCCGAAACATTGCTGGAGGTGTTATTACTTGGGTCAATAAACTTATTGACTTGATCATTTGGAGTGCCGGTGACTTTATTATTTTTTTGTACGTTTTGACGGAGCCATCCGTTGTTGCTGCTGCACCCGCCCTGATACATTGGGCATTCTCCGGTCAGGAGTGCGATGGGATATATGGGCTTTTGGTTGTAATGACAGGTGCCATTGGGTACAGTGATATTTATACTGTCGGCATCCTTCGTATCCAACCTGTGAGGTTTTCTGGCAGGATAAAGAGGTATACTTTTGCACTTAACGAAGCGGTATAACACTTTCACTTGGATATTTAAAGCGAAAGGAGGCCATGATTTTTGGCAGAAGAAACTTGCAAAGTCTCTTCTGCCGAAAAAAAATGTCCTCTCTCCCTCAGCATTTTTAAACTTTAGCATGAGTTTAAGAACTACTCGGGCAATCTTAGCTTAGCTGCAGAACGTTTTTGTCAGAAAATATGTCTGACAAAAACCATGCATTAAATGTCATATTTTACAATAACTGTTGCTGGAAAAAGCAGCAATTCCACCAGTTGTTTTTTCTGTGTGATAAAGTTAGACTACCATTCTCTTAAATAGGAATTCATTCACCATTACTACATTTTCAAGCATTAGCTTTTCAGGGACAGCTTGGTAGTAGACAAACGACTCGCAAGCCTTTCTACGCAACAGTTACAGCAAACCCAGAGCGATTTGCGTCCAGGTGGATGTTGTTGTTTGCCCATCCCTCAGGGGTTACTGCTTGGTGACGTCCCTACCATAAAGGATCTATGATCTGTTGCCCTGTGTCCTTCAATGAACGGGAGAGAAAATAGGATGTTTGTACTCACCGTAAAATCCTTTTCTCTCCATTCATTGAAGGACACAGGTCCCGGCCCTCTTTTTATGGGTGTACACTCCTAACTGGAGACTTGTCAGCAAGTAGGGGGTTGGGCCACCAGCAGGGGCCGTCCCTAGGCTGTCTTGTCTTTTGTTGTGTGCCTAGTGTACTGCTCCTGCAGGTGGCGATATACCCTACCATACAGGATCTACGATCTGTTGCCCTGTGTCCTTCAATGAACGGAGAGAAAAGGATTTTACGGTGAGTACAAAAATCCTATTTTGTGCACTCTGTACAGGGCATATGCCCATTCATGGCATTCTTAAGATGGTGTGAATGGGCTGAGTATCCAGTAGGATGTTACTCCTGCGCGCACACGCAGGAGGTACATCATTAGTGGCCATCCAATGGCCGAAGATGATTTCCAGAAATGTCATCTGTAGAGATAGCGATGGGGGACCGCTCTGAAGAGCGATTTGACAGCGTTGGAAAAGGGCACAGTTTTTAAGGTAAGTGTGCCCAAATATGCAAGTATGCTGTGCCCATTCATGGCATCTCCTAGTGTAAATGGGCTGGGTTCTGTGTAGGATGTATTGCATGTGCATGCGCGCAGGAGTTAATCATCAGTAGCCACCCAATGGCTCCAAGAGGACTGTCGGAAGTATTATCGGTGGTGGAGCTGGTGGGAGACAGGCCTGAGGACCGAAGATCAATTTGACAGTGTTGGGGAAGGGCACACTCTTGCCCTATATTGCATACCTAGGGCAAGAGACAAATGGGGACAAGAGAAGTTCATTGTTGGGGTTTACATATACTATAAGGAATTAGCTGGTTTATGTGTTGGCAGCATTTCGAGCCATGCTGGTTGGATATGTGCATAGGAGAACGTGACGTGGACCATGTCCAGAAGTCCGCTGCTATTGGAAATGGGTGCGGTTTCCCAAACCCCTTGTAGAATGACTCCTGAGCTGCATACTCCTCGGGGTTCTCTACATAAGAGGGCTGTCTAGAATTTCTGGTTAAAAAAAAACAAATTCCACAATGTAGTTTTAAGGGAACCTAAGAGAAGCCATTTTGTCTCTTCAGCTGATCCTAGATGAGCAGGATGCAGACCTGGAGCTGGTATCGGGCAGTATTCGAGTGTTGAAGAACATGTCAGGACGTATTGGAGATGAGCTGGATGAACAGGCCGTGTGAGTCACGCCATCCCCCATTATGAATTAAATTGTCTTCCATCTTAAAGTTTATATCTATAAATTATATTTCTGTAAACTTTCCCTCAGAATGCTTGATGATTTTTCCCATGAGATGGACAACACACAAAATCGCATGGACTCTGTGCTGAAGAGATTGGCCAAAGTATCCCACATGACCAGCGGTAAGCTTTGTTTTGTAGCACAGGAAGGCCTCCTTCACATTAGATGTCTAAGATGACAGTGTGCATATTATAATGCCTCCAATGGATGGGGGTGAAGTCTTCATAGCTATTTATATCTAGTGCCGCACTAAGGTCTGGCACAACAATGATGACCCTTCATTTTCAATGGCTAGCCACCTGCCATATTATATTCATGGGCAATGTCTAACCTAAAGTTGGTCATACGCTATATACTCTGTTTGTACAGTCTCTGAGCTCCTTCAGATTTCCATGGTAGGTAAAGCTTATCATACACACTGATTGTACCATTTTTATATATACCAACTACTATGTAGTGCAAAGACCTGCCTGATTGTATGGACGGATGCGTTCTCATGAATATGAAGGATCTCAGTGATGTCACTGGTCTCTGGTGAATGGACGGGCTGTGTTCTCATGAATATGAAGGATCTCAGTGATGTCACCGGTCTCTAGTGAATGGACGGATGCGTTCTCATGAATATGAAGGATCTCAGTGATGTCACTGATCTCTAGTGAATGGACGGGCTGTGTTCTCATGAATATGAAGGATCTCAGTGATGTCACCGGTCTCTAGTGAATGGACGG